CTGTCAAAGCCAGCACTGAACCTTATAACCTGTAGCTTTGTGTCTCGCATCGCGGAGAGCAGTTACAGGTTTCTCATCCAGGTCCTGGACCCCTGTTGTAGCTAGAACATTTGGCTAGAAGACCAGCGAGACCAGAGTCTCTTCTCTTGTGTATTTCCTTGCTACCTTCTTCCTCTCGTTCAAGGCACTGACAAATACCTCCTGAAGTCATGATGAGACTTATGCTGTGAATGATGGCAACCCTCACTAAACGATCGCGCGTGTGCAACCTCAGGAGCCTTCCACCACATTTCGGCAGCATTTTTTAACTCCGGCAGGATGTCGGGAACCACAAACTTCTCTGCCAGGAAGACCACGGGCAGCACGGCCAATAGAGAAGCCCAACCCACCACTCCCAACCAATAGGACGGGCCGAGTCGACTGACATCATCCCTAATCTCACCAATATGTTGATGGGTAAAAAGCGCCCAGCTGAGAAAAAAGATAAAACCTGTGGGGGAAAAGAAAATGGAGAAGGTTAAAACATGTGCATGTTACTTGGCTAAGGAAAGCTAAATAGCGAAGTACTGACCTGTAGGTACTAGTGTGAACAGCAGCAGGGTGGTCGGGTCGAGCGTCTGGCCTGCCATCAGCAGCGAGCGAGTGTTTGAGTAGGAACGCACCGTTTGAGACGTCCAGCAGAGGGCGAACATGAGACACAGCAGTCCAGAGCTCACAGACATCAGGAAAGCCACCACTGCAAACACTCTCTCAGCCTCCAGAGCTGTGGAAACCAGACAGGGACAGAAACTCCTTTAATATTGATGAATGTGATACGGTATTACATGCTCCTTGGAGCCAAAAAAAAAACCCTGCTGTCCCGATGATTATGTCCAGACCCAAAATTGAGCTTGGATTAAATTAGGCAATATGTCGATGACGATGATTCTCCACTAAAAACTATTATTTCTTAAAAAAAAATAATAATAATTATATATATATATATATATATATATATACACACATACTTTTTTTCATTAACACACACACACAAATATATGATATACATAGATATAAATATAAATATACACATAAAAGCTAAAAAAAAAAAAAAAATTTATATATAAAGAAAAAAATACATAAATGAAAAAATGAATATTATATATATATGAATATTTTATATATATATATATATATATATATATATAATTCATATTAAATAACATTTATTTTTTTTATTTCAAACAGTGGTTCTCACTGACTTCCATTGTATTTTTGTCCAAAGTAACAACGTATTTTTATATATAAAATAAAGACAAAAATATATAAATGAAAGGGGGGGGGGGGGGATGCTGAGTTTGATCAGGGTTGGAGCTAAACTCTGCAGTGCATTGGCCCTCCAGGGCAAGATTTGAGGAACCCTGGTCTATAGAAACCATAGAAACAAATAAAGGCATACAGGTTTCAAACAACATGAGGGAACGACACACCATTTTAATTTTTGTGTGAACTGCCCCTTTAAGAATGTCTAGCATAAAACCATGACAACAAATTTCAGTTTGAGTGTTCCTGAAGAACAACAGCTCATCATGAAACTATTTAAAACTGAACTGATCAGTCATTACTTCATCCTTCATTATTTATCTCATTCTTCATTTGTCTTGTTCTGAGGAAGAACTAAACTGAGGGGAAAACCAGACAGGCTACAACTAATAAAACATGCGAGTCATGCGAGTCCAGCGTGTCATAGCCTGTCTGCTGCAGCCCACCGAAGCGTAGAAACCCCTCCAACACAAAACCATATCAGTATTTTACGCCAACGTTGGAAATTCAGGAGAAGTTCACAGATTCTCTCTCATTTGACTGCTCTGTGCTTCTCGGCAGGTCAAAACCTGCAAAAATTCCACAATATGCTCTAATGCTTTCAGTTCCCATCAGACCTTCTGGCTATATATTTTAATACTCCAAAAAACCAAGCCTTTAAAGGCCTGAAAAGTGAAACACACAACAGAAATGCATTTAATTGGGCTTTTTACTGTTTTTCAATTATGCATCTTTTATAGAGGTTTTTAAGATTCAAAGCAGTTTTAATCAAATGAATGAGGGTCACACGTGGGCTACTAAAATATTGCTGTTGCCCACATGACAGGTCAAAACCAAATCAAATAGAAGATATAACATGACACAAAACATATACACTTTTTAACTTTACGTTTAACATATAAGGTGACCCAACGTTGTAGTATATTATGTTACAATTTAACACCACAAAATATAATATAGTATATTATTCTATTTTTTAACCAAATATTTTGAACGACACTTAGCAATGACAAATAGCTTTTATTCCCTAAGATATATGAGAATAGCAGCCATACGACACGCACCTTTAGCAATGTCTTCAGTGGTCCAGCTGTCATCCAGTCTGGTCTCATTCCCTGAGGTCCACAGACCCCGGTCATCCAGCCACCGAGGTGTCCAGATCGCATAGCTGATACACAAACAGCCCATCAAGCCGAGACAGGATTCAATAAATCGAAAACGACTCCTCGAGTCGACCAGTTCTGGTCCTTGCATCGCTCTGTTGAGAAAAAGCGAATGGTTAGATATAACAATAACATAAAGTTGCCAGTTCAGCTGGAAACTAAACGTAAAACATTACAGTTGGTAATTTCAGACAAAATTAGGTAATCAGTTAGGTTTGCTTACCTTAAGTCTTTAAAATGTGTTCAAATGACAGGGATTTGATTCCACGCAGTCCAATGACAGTAACTGATCACGTTCAAATATCAAATGAATCAGAAACTTGAGTGTTTTATGACGATGTACAGAAGCATCTCTCACAATGCTGTAATAAGACACTGTAAAGATTTCCCTCTACCCACAGTGAAGACCCACTCGCAATGGAAACTCCCCGTCTCATAAACATAACACACATACACTGTGAGTGCTTAAATTCCCCCAGAAGCCCTGCGAGTGTTTCAGTGAGGTTTGGAAAGTGAAAATGATATTTTATAAATCACTTTACTGTGCTCAAAGGAGTCTGTGGGTTGAATTTCACCAAATGACCAATACCGGAGTAAAAGAACAGATACAAAACAATCAATCAATATATATATATATATATATATATATATATATATTGTCAATCAATATATATAAAAAGTTAACTATTAAACTTTTGAACAGGGTCATTTTTTTAGAAATTCAGTTATTAATTTTGTCTTGTGGAGAATATATAAACATCTGTTATGTGCAATAGCTTATTCAGGACAGTATTAAATAAACAATAACATGCCATTTTCATGATCCCTCTTATTTTGTTAAAATTATCCTTTTGCATATTCTGCAAGGGGCATGTAAATTTATATATATATATATATATATATATATATATGCACACACACACATATTAATATATGTATGCATACATATATGTGTGTGTATATAACTACATAACTTTTTTTAAGCTTTTTACTTTTTTGGTTCTTTTAGTAGTAAGCGACCACAACCTGAACCACAGTAACTGTAGCAATACATCAGGAGAGTTGCTGTGTCGTCATGAAAACGAATAAATGGCACAGGAAAGAACCACTCTTTAATCTCCACCAAGGTGGGCTCACAGGAAACCCATGAGCATGGTTATTTCCTGTTGCTCACTTTCTGCCACAGACCTCAGGTCAGCTTTGCCCTACTCTCACCAATACAAGCGAGACTGCGGCATCTGATCTCAGGTCATTGTAAAGGAGCAACATAACACAATGAAAATATAATTCAACATAAAACATTTTAATTGACGATTGATTCATTCGTTCAGTCAGGAGCCCTTAAAACATCAATGAACAACACCAATGAAGATCTGAAACAAGGCATTTTCCTTGATAAGCAACCATGGTGTCAAAAAAAGGCATTTTTGGAACAAATTCATCTTGTAAAGATAAGAAGTGTCAAAAAGTAAATACACATCCACTTTTATCCTGAAACGGACAGCCAAGTCAATTAAAACTTTTCCCCCACAACAAAATCTTTAAATTATTTAAAATCAATTTAGAGGGGTCATATCATACATTATTTTTCCCCTGAGGTTTACAGTGTAATGTTAGTATATTTCTTTTTTTGTGTGTGTGTGCCAAAAATAGTCATTTACAGGGAAAAAAACAAAACAAAAAAACATTTTACACTCTCTCTGAAATATTAAAAGGTCTGTCTGGTGCTTTGCCTTTAGGACTTTCATATAAAAACGAGCACCAGGGCTTTGCATTTACACACGGGCGGTCAAAGTTATTCTTCAATAAAAGTCTCTTTTCAAAGCTGAAACTGATTTCTGCCGCTCAAACTGTTAAGATCTGACTGAAATGATCAGGGATCTAGTTAAAAATGAACATCTGCCTCTCGTTTCTAATGTTGGGATGCTTTGGAAGGACGTGCAGAGTTGTAGGTGCCTCACACAGTTAGAAACACTGCAAAAATGCTTCTTAACGAGTATTTAATTAGTCTTTTAAGTAAAATATCTAAAAAGTCTTAAAACTAGACCAATTTACTTAAGAAACAACACTTCATAAGTTATGAATACTTGTCATAGACTCTCTTGAATAGCATTTTGTCTTGCTGCACTATCAAATAAAAAATACTTGTATTAAAGATATATTATGCAGTGCTGTTTCTTAAGCAAATCCATCTTGTTTTAAGTTTTTTTTAAATATATTTTTACTGAAAAGTCTCATTTAAAAACTTCATTAAGAATATTATTTTATTTTTTTTGCAATGAGAAGCAAATTTTAGGTTTTGAAATTTACAATATATTTCCCTTACACAAAATTCTAATTTAAAAAAAAAATGTCTCCCTCGCAATAAGACCCCTTTAAATCAACTCAAAGACAATAGATTGGATGCTTAGAATTTGATATGAGCGCAATTAAAGGGGCAGTCTCCAATTACTGTGACAGCTAGGGTAATAATTAAAGTAAAAAAACATCCAACAATAATAACATTTTCATATACTGCTGTGGTGACTCTCCATAATTGTTTCAATCTCTAATTACAGGGATCGCCGCTGTGTTGTTTCTGCAATTAACAGAGTTTGCCTTTAAACTGTACATAAGGTGAAAGTATCTTTCATAAAATAAAAAGTATTTGACAACTTGTTTCTATCAACTGTTACTCTATTTCCTGGCTTTATCGAGCAGGTCTGTGAAAACATCCAATTGTGTTGGGTCTTGTCCAGCAGCTAGCTCAGGCTTGTGCTTCTCCAGCCAATCAGACGTGTGGATCTGCTGTCGCAGAGTACCAATCAGAGAGTCCAGACTCTCTGAGCGGATGTCGGATTGGCCATTAATAACTGTAAAGTTCTCATCAGCCAATGAGACGGGCTCTGTCTTAATGTGTACTGTGTCAAGTTTGGTTTGAACGCTTGAGGTCTTGAGTGTCTGCTCTTTGCACTCATCTATTGTCTTAGTGTCTTCCCTCCTCGCTGTCCCAAGGCTGTCATCCCGTTCGTCACTTGTTGTGCACTGTCTCTCAAGCACTGAAGAGCCCTGAAGTCCTTCTAATGCATTTTTAATCCTCTGCACACCTGAAAAACAAGGATTTAAAAGGAATAACTGCCAATCACATCTAATCCCACTCCATAGGAGACACTACAAGAAGACAGGAACTGAAATGGAAATGAGCGATCAACAGACCTAGCTTTAGTTTATGCAGTTGATCAGTGAAGATGATTCTGAACCAGCCAGGAGACACACAGCTGAAGGCCTGACCGCAGCTCAGCAGAACCTTGTGCTTGAGGAAACACCTCCACAAAAACAGCTCCTCAGCAAACGTCTTCTCACTCAGATACTACACAAACACCAAAACATTATATAGAAATCGGCTGAACTTGACTGATTTCAAGAGTTTGGATGCAGAAATCTGTTCTAAAGGCGCTCACCTTGCTCAAGTCTGCCCAGATGAAGAAACCCGCACTCCTGTGCAGGAAAGGTATGTCCAGTTTCTTCAGCTCTTCTGTCATGAAGCTGTGAGCCTCTCTTAGCCTTTGTCTGTTCTCTGGAAGGAACTCACTATTCAGCCAGTCTGGAAACGGCAAGAAATCTCCCTCAGTTAAGTGTTGTTGTGAATGAATCATTCTTGTCAATTGTGACCCTGGACCACAAAACCAGTCTTAAGTCGCTGGGGTATATTTATAGCAACAGCCAAAAATACATTGTATGGGTCAAAATGATAGATTTTTCTTTTATGCCAAAAATCATTAGGACATTAAGATCATGTTCCATGAAGATATTTTGTAAATTTCCTACTGTAAATATATCAAAACTTAATTTTTGATTAGTAATATGCATTGCTAAGAACTTCATTTGGACAACTTTAAAGGCGATTTTCTCAGTATTTAGATTTTTTTGCACCCTCAGATTCCAGATTTTCAAATAGTTGTATCTCGACCAAATATTGTTCTATCCTAACAAACCATATATCAATGGAAAGCTTATATAGTCAGCTTTCAGATGGTGTATAAATATCCATTAAAAAAAAATTTGACCCTTATGACTGGTTTTGTGGTCCAAGGGTCACAATTAATCAATCTAAATGATCTGTTCATGATCACGCATGCAACTGTGGCTTCACAGTTTGTTACCGTATTTGGGTTTAACTCAGTGACTCAAGATCCAAATCATGTTCTCACGCAGTGAAAAATACATCGTGGAGATCCTAACAAACCATATATCAATGGAAAGCTTATATAGTCAGCTTTCAGATGGTGTATAAATATCCATTTAAAAAAAATTTGACCCTTATGACTGGTTTTGTGGTCCAAGGGTCACAATTAATCAATCTAAATGATCTGTTCATGATCACGCATGCAACTGTGGCTTCACAGTTTGTTACCGTATTTGGGTTTAACTCAGTGACTCAAGATCCAAATCATGTTCTCACGCAGTGAAAAATACATCGTGGAGCAAAGAGAAAACTGACAACACGTGGACAGACAAGACAGAGCAGGTTACTTTAAGTATGAAACAAAGGCTCAGCTCTCACATTTTTTCATTTAAGAAATTCAAACAATAGATACTGTTTTGTGACTCTTTAATGTGTCGTGACAGATCGCTGTAGCGCCTCAGTTCAAGCGGCACGTGAAGCAATCATCTCTTCCTCTTTACTAGTTATAGCATGAAATAAACATGAATAAACATCAGATGGATTTGTTTCAATCACGGAAAGACGCCACTAAACACCATTTTTCAAGATCAAGTTTCTGCCTGGTTTGTTTGTCGGACAAAAATGGCAGATTCAGCGTTATGATTGGTCAAATCGCCTGTCAATCAAAATCCCTGTGAAGGGTATATTGCGCACCAGAAGGGAAGTTTATCAGTGAATAATGACTTAAATTTTGGTCTATTTATAATTTAAAGCAATTGTACAGCTTCAAATATATTCATATAGACCATTTTAATGATACTTTTGCAGTGCAATCAGTCTTAATTCATCACAATTACAAAACACACACTGTGCAGTTAAAAGTACAAACTTTAAGTATGAATCAAGCCAGTACACCAACATTTTAGTATTCTAAAAACGCGCAAAAGGTTAATGGTACATTTACATGACAACAATGTACTAAAAAAGTGTTTTTTTTGCATTTTGAAAAGTTTCACGTATACAGACAAAACATTGCTGTCAAATGATCCCCATTCACACGGAGCCATGAAAATAACTAAAAATGCTGTTTTATGCATGCCAGGCCAGTAGTTTGCGATGTCACTTCGTAAAGAAGCACTATGCGGTATGCGCCTATGCACAAACCTATAAACTATACATGTACGTATGCATTTCCACAAATGTGCATGTTTTTTCAGGTTACATGGAGACAATAACAGTATGGTTTTAAAAAAAACTTGCACTTTAAAATCTGTTTTCAAAAGTTTGCATTTTCTGGCCCACAAACACAATTGTTGTGTAAATGAAAGGCAAAGACGCATACACAGTTTTCCATTTTTAGTTGAAAACAGTGTCATGTAAACACCCCACAAGTCTATAAAAGCATAGAGAGAAAAAACAACAACCAGAAAAAGTATACCATCCTTTTGACAGTATGATTTGGGACATACCAACACTAATATTACGTACTAGACAGGATGAAATGTATGGGAATTGTGAATCAGCCATAGAGTGAAAACCAGACAAAACATTGACAAAGCCAGGGAGAAAATGTGTACCTCTGTCTCTGAGAAGCTGTGCCATCTGGTACTGTGTGGGTCCTGGGACACCGTGGAAGCAGCCCAGCTGATCCAGGGCCTGAACCAAATCTCTATTCTCAGAGTAGACCATGCCAACTCGCATTCCTGACATAGCAAAGTCCTATATGCATACACAACAACATTTGAATGCAATAAAACAATGCCAAGAATATGAGGAAATGCTTTTCCCAAAGTTGAAATAGTGACATACCTTACTGACGCCCCATATAATGTGGGTTCTTTGGGGATCTGGCAACCTGTGGAAAAATTTGTGATAATTAGTTCAAGCAATATTCACATGTACCTAGGGCTGGACGATATGGCCAAAATGTATATCATGATATATTTCTTAATTTCGGTTGATACGATATAATTCCGATATCGATTTGAACAATATTTTAAAAAGCCTCAGAAAAACTGCCAAGAACGCCCACAACGGATGTCTGTGCCTACAAACTTCTGAAAAATGAATTTGCCAAATCTATAAAACCTTCTCCTATAAAACTATATAATATTTTAGAAATAAAAACGGTACAAATAAATTCATGTTCACCTTTTATTTGTATTTAACCTTCATACAAACAAAAAATGTGAAATCACCGTCAAATAAACAAAAAGCCAAATAAACCGCCAAAAAGACTCTCAGACTCACCTTATTAATATTAACATATTTAACTTTAAAGTATAAAATAGGCTGATTATTCTTATAGATTGAAACAAAAGTGCTTCAGCCAAGATGAAAGATTATGAAAAGTGCTCAGAGTTGCTGCAGAAAACAGAAAAAAAGTGAAAATGCTAATTCATTCTGCCAGCAGGAGGCGCTTTTGGAGCAGCAGAATCATCGTTTTCTCCGGCTGTACACAAAGTGCTCTGCTCATAAATGCTACTTTATCAGATAAAATGAAAATGACATTGAAACATTTCTGAAGGCAGTCTGTTCCCTTAGTAAAGATATATTCGTATAAAACACCCGCGTCACGTTTTGAAACGTGCAGTGCTCATGTTTATTCAACGAAGTCAAACTGTCAAAGCTTTCTGGAAAATCTATTTGTGGCGATCGGTGTTTATATTGTAGCGGGCCGCCACAAATAAATCAATGTATGGGAAACACTGATAATGTATATTGAAATATCGGAAATGTGTTTAAAACTCATATCACCGTTATTGAAAATTTTTTATATCACAATATAAATGAACATTGAATTATTGTCAAGCCCTCAATGTACCCCAAGCAAAAATAGCCCTTTCTGACATTACAATAAAGATTAAAATAATACTTCAGCTAAAAAATTTAATTCTGTCAACAAATTGTAATTTTTGGGCAAAATACACTTTTAAGGGGTTTGACTATAATTCATTAAACACAAGATTCAATTTTCCTTGACACCTAATGAAGTACGTTTCAATTTCAGCTCAGGGCATATTAGTTCATTAAGCAGAAAACTAAGTCAATTAGAATTTAAAAAGCAGAAATAAGAGAGAGTTTGTGTGAATGTCTCTCACCCATCCAAGCTGAGAACACTGCGAAACGTGTCTGTCTCGTTGAACACGGAGAGCATGTAAATCTCATCCACGATCACATGAAGCTTGTGCCTGGAGCAAATGAGAGAGAAAGAATGAATAAATTAGTGCCGCTGAGGGCAGAAATTAAAAATTCAAATGACATTCGTGAACACAAATGTAATTTCTCGTCAATAGCGTGCAACTTAATGAAGCATGTGAAAACATTTGGAAAACAAAGTGCGATCACAGACCCATAGGTTTGGCAACCAGAAAGTTTTTCATCATTTACTCATCCTCATGCCATTCTAAAACTTTTTTGAAGAACGCCGTTTTCCCTACAACAAATAGGATGCCAAGCTCTGAAGTGCAAATGTGATTTTTGATACTTTTATGGTAGTTCCTCACCTCATGCTCAATAAATGTTTTTATTATATGGAAAAAGAGCAGCATAAACATTCTTAAAACCATCTGTTGTGTTTCATTAAACAAAGTTATGTGGGTTTTGTAATAACATGCCATTAATATTTCTGCATTGATAAAATGTCACTGGCTTCCAGATATTAAAGATCTGAATGAACCAGTGGCTTTGGTTCAGTGCTTGTAAGAAACAGTTTAAACTCACATTTTGGCAAACTCTAGAAAGCTGATCATCTCTTCAGACGAGTACACTTCTCCCAGTGGATTGTGGGGGTTTAAAAGGATAAGGGCTTTGATGTTCAATCCCTATAAAAAGAACGTACAATTTTAAGAGGGTCATACAATGTGAGTTTCAAGCGTGTACACGGTATGTTTAAGTAAAAAAAACAACCTCTTTTTTGGCCTCTTTAAGAGAGTTCTCCAATTTCTCAACAGTTAGCTGGAATGGTCTGACATCACTTCCTGTGGGCTGTACCAACACAATACAAATGCAAACATAAATATAAGATGTACAGCTACAAGAAACAAAAATAAACAGCAGAAAACCACTATAACATGCCAATGTTACATTATGAAATATTACGACTGGACTTTCGCTAACCACCTGACTGTAAAGTGGCACATGGTGTAGTTTGACACTGCTGTACAAGCCCACATCCTCCGTTATCACACCATAGAAGGGTGACGGGATGAGAATGGCATCTGTAAAACACACACACACACACACAATATCAAGTAACATTTTAGACAAGTACGGCCATTTACGGTTTAATTTTGCACCTTTATCAAAAAAGGTTTGATTGTATAATTAAAAAAAAACATTTTTTCTCATAATCGTCATATGGATAATTGTTTAGTATCCATATCCAAGGGCTTTCAGTAAATTTTGGTAGTAATGGGTAGTAAAAAAACGAAACAAATCAGCATACCAAATCATCATATTAGAATATTAGAATGATTTCTGAAGGATCATGTGATGCTGAAAATTCTGCTTTGCATCAAAGGACTAATTTACACATTAAAATACATGAAAATGGAAAACACCTCTTTTAAATTGTAACAATAATTCACATTATTACCCTTTTTCCTGCAGTTTTGATCAAATACATGCAGCCTTGGTGAGAATATGAAAAAAATCTTACAACCCCAACAAAATTAGACATAAAACAGACATATTCAGTAGTGACCAGATGGTTTGATACCTTCTGGGTCACAGAGCGTAGCTGCCAAAGCCGAGAACAGAGACCCACAACCGTTCATAACAACGACCTGCGAAAGAACCGAACAACATACGCATGTGGTCTGAATTTCTCTTTTAACAGAAAGAGGAAGACTAACAGAAATAATACCATACAATAATAGAACACTGATGTAGAAAACACTCACGTTCTTGGGCTTTAGCGGTTTGGGAGAACGGCAGTAGTCCGACAGGAACTTAGCAACTTCCTCTCGAAGGCTTTGGGGAAAAGAACATCAATACTGTGAAATGACAGCTGAGCATGGGATTTTACACAAACGTTGAGAGTCAAATTAATTATACATTTGACAGAAAAACAAACAAAGAAAAAATGGTGGCTTACAAACTGTGGCCTTTCCAGTCGGGGTATTGTAGCATAGCAGGATCAATCTGAAGCATGTCTGGTCGCATCAGCTGTTAAGAGATACCGAGAATCAATCAGCAATGATTGTAACGTGTAATGTCCAGGCTCAATAACAACTTTTTACATTTCTGTGCATATAAAGGCTTTTGAAAGTCTTTCTTGTTGTAAAAACACTAAAAAATCCTTCTTAAGAGAATGTGAGTGGTGCTTGCCTGTGCAAAACTTGATAGGGTGCTGTAGACGGTTGCTAGGACATTGGTATGCAGTTTCTAAGGTGTTCTGAACGGCATTTAGCTTGTTTTAATTCAGTTGCTATAGGGTGTTTTGGGTGGTTTCTCACTGGCCAAAAGAGCACATTCCTCCAGACTCCATGATAGTGTGATATATTTTAATAAAGCAATAAGTCGTGCCTAACAACGCCACTTAGCTGTTATAAATTCACTAAACCACGGCTTCACTGGGTTTACTGCTTTTATAAAACGGTTATTCCATATAGGTTTCACAGAATAAAGTGGAGCAAATAAAGCGTAATGATATCCACCTTTTTCTTGTCGTAAAAATGGGCGCGGCCATTTGTAAATTCTATGGGTATGGCTTCCGGTCTCATCTGCGTCCACTCCGTCCAGCTATTTTTAGCTGAGCAAAACAGTTCGTTTTTCTGCTTGATATTGAAAGTTGGTGTGTCTTATCATATTATTTTAATGTATTATCTTAATTATGAACACACTGGTTTGTAGTGCAAACAGTTTTACCGTTTACTGCACGTTGTTATTCTCCTCGTTATTTACCTATAGCGGCTAATGAACCGGAAGTCTCACCCATAGGCTTACTTCCGCGTTGAAGAAAAAGGTGGATAAATAAAACCAGTATTCTTCCACCAAACAATGTAGTTCCTCAGAAACAGTTGTGGTTCCAACAAAGTGTTGCCGAGTGTTGTGCTCTGTTCTCGCGATATCACTACACTACACCGAGCAACACACAGAAGTAAACAAAGGTGTATGTTTGTAGTGTAATTTACAACAGCTTCGAACGTGGCTCAACCAATCAGAATCAAGGACTGGAACTATCCGTCTTACAATGGGATTTTTTTCTCTCTCAATTTTATAGTCTTTGATTTTATGGCCCACCAGGCGACAATCATCGCTAATGAAAAAGGATCTCTACTAATGAATACTAAACAAGTAAATCATGATGTCTCTTACTCTTTTCTGCAGGAGGTCAAAGCACAGCTTGTTTTCACTGGTTCCTAAGTTTATAATGCCCTGAAATAAATAATAGTAAAAAACACAGCAAATTACCACACAGCAGAAGCTTTAGATCATCTTGATTTAAATTTGAATATTGTTTAAGAAATGAATGACGAAAATGATTTATAAAGGAACATGAATTTGTCACACTGCAAGATGATTTAAAATGAACTTAAGGAAAAGAGATTATTAAAATTGTACAAAAAGGCCAGGAAGAGTTCCACTTTAATTGAAAATGTCATATTTCAATTAAATTTTAACTAGGTTTTATTTTAACCCCCCCTCCCACCACAGGTATTGTCTGGTGGTTCTGTACGGTGCAGTAAAATGTCTCTCTCTCTTTTTTTTTTTTTCTTTTTTTTAATAGACAGTCATGTGTTCATTTACGCATAAAACATGCAGTATGCATTTTTCTTGATTTGGAAAAATAAATGATACATTCTTTACTTTCATAAACCTACACTACAGTTCAAAAGTTTGGGGTCAGTGATTTTTTTTAATGTTTTTGAAAGTCTCTTACGATCACCAAGGCTGTATTTACTTGCTCAAAAATACAGTAAAAAAGAATATTAAAATTTTAAATAAACATATTTTAAAATGTTATTTATTCACCTGATTGTAAAGCTGAATTTTCAGTCTTTAGTGTCACATGATCCTTCAGAAATGATTCTAACATGCTTATTTGCTACTCAAGAAACATTAATTATGATGTTGAAAATATTTGTTAATCAATATTCTTGTGAAAAATGTTAATATATTTTTATTTAAGATTTTTTGAAGAATACAAAACCCAAAAGAGCAGCATTTATTTATTTGCTGCCACATTTAATCAATTTAAAGTGTCCTTGCCAGATTAAATGATTCATTTCTTTTTTTTTTTTATTCTTACAGTAGTGAGGTTATATAAAAGTATATCATTTATCATATATGTTTCCATATCCAGACCAAAGTACACTACAATTCATGCAGAAATGATCAAATGATTGAAAAAAAAGGCATCTTACTGCAGTGTATACCCACTGTATACTAAATAAAAAAAAACAACAACATCTGCAATAATTAATAATAATAAAGCAGTACTGTTTCCAGGGAGACTAACATGAGGATTTGAATTCTCGTCGTGCACGTTGGCGTGATACTGATTGTAGCCTTCCTGCAGGATTCCCTGGTGCAGCCGCATGCTATTGCCACGCCGGGAAAGGTACGGGCTGTACTGGGCCTTCTGATCACCCCAAAGCATGCTGGGTACAGCTTTGGCACTGTTGGGTAACAAATAGGTTTGTGAGGTACTGGGCACCGGGAGCATTTCCCTGCGGGTGGAGGCACTCTGGTCTTCCATCCCACGTGATGAACTCAGGACTTTGGTCAACATGGACATGAGACGAAACTCATGATCTCTCTCCTGCTTTGCTCGTCTCTCCTCCTGCTGCTCCCTCCGCTCCTCGGCCTGCGCCTCCTGCTGCATCCGGACCTCCTCCAGAGCCAGGAAACGCTCTTCTGCTGTCTGCTGCCAGCTTAGATATCCAGCCAAAGCGTTCGATAACACCCCATCGCCCCCACGTCCCACTCGCCGACGCTTCCTCTGATGGAACGATCCGGAACCCCCTACTTGGTCACCATGGCTACCTCCATCTCTCATCACAATGGGAGCTGTTGCCGGGGATACACCCGCACCGGAGGAGCCAGTCATGTTCTGGTCACTGCAATCTGTGGTGTGATATTATCAGATATTAAACATTCAATCAGTAAATCAGAGATAAAAGACCAAATAGAAACTTAATTAAAAATTAACTAAACAATTATCTCAACATTTTATTAAAGCAACAGTTGGTGTGATAACATGCCAGATAACAGAACATCTGCGGTGCTGAAAGTAAGGCACTGGATGGAAAATCACTGCCAACAGCAGAGACACAACAAATGGTTTGGCATAAATACTGCAATAACGCCTGTGCACCATTAAACCACACAGACCTTCTAAATAAATATGGAAAATATCAGTTAGAACTGGTAGGACAGGCTCATAGTTAATCGTTATCTTGATTATACATCCATGCAATGCTATTTTTGCACTGATGCGATGAAAATATTATAAAGAGTTTCTGAAGGTTAACTGATAGAGAGCAAGGTCACATGTTTCATGCACAAAAAATAAATAATAAACATGCCGGCCAAATGCATAATTGTATAAAATATACGCTAGAGTTAAAAAATGTGTGGTCAGTAGGATATTTAATTTTTTTAAAGAAACTGATACTTTTATTCAGCATGGATGCATTAAACCGATCAATAGTAAAAGTATTCATAATGTTGCAAAAGTCTTCTGTTAGACTGGAGTAATTATGCTGAAAATGTCAGCTTTGCATAACAGGAATAAATTACACTTTTAATATCCATTAATATAAAAATAGCTACTGGTTTTACTGTATTTTTGATCAAATAAATGCATCCTTTGGTAGGAAAGAAAAAAGTCTTTCACAAACCCTAAACTTTTGAATAATGGTGTACTGTGTCAAGCAGATGGTGTTTTGTTACAGTTTCTCTGTAATTACTGAAGTCAAGGCACATGTTTTTATATGATTTAAACATGAACATTTGTTTCTGCTTATAAATTGTACTTTTTATTGGATATTGTGCTGATTTAAATATATGACCAAAGTAACATTTTCTACCCGGCGAACACAGATAATGATTTGTCAAATTAGTAATTGTCAAAATGAAAATAACCTGCGATAACCATTAGATAGAATGAGTTGACATTACATTGCATGCCATCCTTTTCCTCAAAAAATCTAAAATTATGAATTTATAGCTGTTATGAATAGCCGTATCATGTCCAGGTGTTATTGTAAATTAAAAACACTAGTGTGGTTCTGTTCACGCATGTTCATATACATATGGGGAAAATAATTGTAATAAAATTGTGGTGGGGCCAGTGAAAATGCTGAAAGGCCGAAGAAAAACCTGAACAACTTGCCTCCCAAAAATCTCAATTACTGAGAAATATGCATTTACATACACACTGATCTATCTATCTATGCAACAAGTATATGTATAATATGTGTAGTACATCATGCAGATGATGTTTGGTTTCTGTTGCACTGTAACGTGTATTTACACATCCAAATCTGTTTCTCCATTCATCCATCCATACCAACAGACTGTTCAGGATACCTGATGGGGAACAGATGACATGCGTGTTTCCCTGCTCTCCGTCCATCTCAGTGTTCTCCTCTGTGTTTGGACCCGCATGTTTGTGCTCAGCAGCGCCAGCTTCATCATCCTCATCAACAGGTCCGAACTCATAGAGCATCTCAGGCGGGCCCACCGCTTCATCATCCGAGCTCATCACCTCCGTCTTGATCTCCAGAATCTCACCTGCTCTGGGCGGCTGACCCGGCGCCTCTGACCCCTGCAGTCCGGTTACCTGGTTCGTAACCGTGCCGCCCCATAAAGGCAAAGTCGAACCGGAGGTAGCGGCGGATCGGTTACTCTGCGCCCTTTCCATCAGCTCGTAATACCTCGCGGATCTCAAAGTCTTCTGCTTGTACTCCAGCTTCAACTTCTTGATCTTCTCCCTGCATTGATCCCCGGTCCGATTGATGCCCTTCTGCCGCAGAGTGCTGGCGATTCGGTTGAACACATGCTGGTTTCGGAGGCAGGTCACTAGCTCGGTTTGGACTGGCACGTCTGACCAGATCTGCAGCAGCTCCAGCACCTCTGGCTCGGACCAGTTGCTGCCGCGTTCGTACTTTTTACCGTAGACGTGAATCAAATGCATTGCAGCACTACAACTAAAGCTACAGTGTTATGTTTATAGACTGCTGCAAGTATGTTCACGCATTGGTATGGTGCCGCGTTTATAGGACTAAAAGCAAATGCATTCAAATAGTAAAACTCCAACGTGTGAGTTACTGTAATCAATCATCTAAAACGAACGCTGGTACTTTACCCCGAACGGAACCAGATCCCTTTACTTTCTAATAACGGTCTCGATCATGCATTTTCTGCCCGATGCTTTTGTTCTTTATTCAAACAAGTCCTGATACATCCGGGTTCACGGCACATGCGTGCTGCCCTTATTCCGGGATAAATTTGGACCGTGACAACAAAGAACGGCGCTGCGCATGCGCTGAACGAGGAACGTTGAAGAAAGAGACCAATTTGTTGCATAGGCCCGCCATCTAGCGTTTACACTAGTATTTTTGAAACATTGCATGATATTCATTTACTTATATTTATTATTTTTGAATGTTATTAGATAAGAATCAAATATATATATATATATATACAGTGGGTACGGAAAGTATTCAGACCCCCTTAAATTTTTCACTCTTTGTTATATTGCAGCCATTTGCTAAAATCATTTAAGTTAATTTTTTTTCCTCATTAATGTACACACAGCACCCCATATTGACAGAAAAACACAGAATTGTTGTATATGTATATATATATATGTATGTTTTTCGTTACTTTAGTGTCTGATGTTTAACACATTACATTAAGGTTCCACTACTGTACATTAGTTAACATAAACCAACCATTAAGATACTTCTAAAGCATTTATTCATCTGAGTTACAGTATTAAAATGTGTTTAGCTTACATTATTTGGACATGAGCAAACAAATATCAGTTGTAGTATTTTAATTAATCAACGTTATCAAAGATGAATAAATATTGTAACAAATGTATTGCTCATTGTTAGTTAAGTCAATGCATTAATAAAGTGATACACATTTTCTTATTTTGATTCTCATTATTGTAATATAGATACTATTTCTATTACTGTTACAGTTAGCATAAATGAAAAGCAATAAAACAAACTCCACCATGGAGTATAAATAATTTATGTACCGTTATTTATGAAACAATGCATTCCCCCTTAAATCCATCCTTTCAGTCCTAAACAAGAATGAAAGTGTGATGTAAATAAAGCATTCATTTTTTATTATTTGAGGAAGCTGCAGGCGTAAGATGTGAACCCGTGCTGCCTGTTTTTGTGATACTTTGACAATAAAATAAAAATGATGGAGGGACAAACCAAATCAGCTTATAGCAGGAGCTTGGTTCAGTGAAGATGAATCCTTGAAGGAAATTCGGTTTTCATTCGTGACCTGCATGCTGCTGCTTTCGGAGTAAAAATATTGACAAAACTGTCAATCTAATATATGTCTTTCAAAGCAAACATTATGCTGATTACATTCGGCTCTCCACAATGAGAAGGATCCAACTGTAATCTGATTCATTCACGGCAATGCAAATTCTGTCATCATTTCTTTATTAGTCACCATTCACTTTCACTGTGTACATATGCATTGAAAAGGAACAGTTCCTAACACGACCAGTCTTGCAACATTGGTCAGAATATTCATTTCTGGATGAACTGTTTCTTTAGGAACGTTAAATATATATATGCATTTACTACTGCTACTGTATTTGAAAGAGGTCTGTGATTAGGTCAGATTTGAATTATGAACCGTGTGTTATTGTCCTTTCTCTCAAAGTACTGCCCACACTCCAGTCCAGTAGGTGGCGGTAAATGCACCTTTAAGTTGGTTTGTCAACCACCAATAAAATGTAAAGAAGAAGAAGAAGCTGAACCGTGTGTTTTGAATCCTGCAGACGGAGCCCGCGAATCGCAGACCCCAAACAGGCGCATGCCGTGACGTACTTCCTGGGACTTGTAGGCCATTTGTGATTACCAGGGATTTGTGTACGGATGTATTACGGAGCCCGTTATGTCTGTAGAACAATAAAGAAGACGCTACCGATGACACGTGACACCACAGAGGTTTTGTTTGCAAACATTTAAATATTAAGTAAACCATGTAAACTGGCAGGACACAAGATTAATAAATAATTAAAGATAAAGGACTACAGGAAGACGCGCGCGCCGTTGAAAGTTTCATCGATCTGCGCGCTCTCGCCGCGTGATGCTGAGTTGAGTTCGCGGGGGTCTCGCGGAACGGCTCGAGCACTCCGTAACGGTTTCTCAGTGGATGTACTTTAAATTTCTGCCGTGAGCGGAGTTCATTTCGGGGCTGTAGTCGGAAATGTGAGCCCGTTACCGGATTCCGAGGCTCTGTAAAGCGCAATGACAGCTCGGTTCGTGTTTGAGGAGGGGTCAACGGTCTCATATCTGAGGTAAATGACAGTTCGTATGTTTGTCGTTGTTTAATTTAAATAGAACGGAAAACTGAGGCGAAGTTAAAGAACATCAAGTTTTTATTTACTATTTTATCCTGTCATATTAAGCTTTTACGTTTTGGTGCAACTTCTGAGAGCAGTTTCATATAATTTACTAGGCTGTTACAGCATATTTGTGTTCTCGCTCATTTTTACAGATGACAAAAAGTGACCGTATAGTTTTTTTCTTTTACACTCATTGGTTTGAGGAAACCTAATAGGTGTGTTATTTTGTAATATCAAACATGTGACCTAAAGGGATAATGTTAACGTTACTTCACTCAAAAAATAAAAATTCGTTCAACCTACGCTTTATTTACACAGTAACACACAAATAGAAATGTTCGCCAGAATGACAGTCACCGTTCACTTTCATTGCATCTGCTTTCCATACAAATAAAATGAACAGTAGTTAACGTTAACTGGAGGCTGTCATTCCGCAGCACGCCTCCTTTTGTTTTCCACGAAAGAAAAGAAGCACGTAATAATATTTTCAATTTTCTAAACTGACTCCAAATCCTCCGAAAGATTCATTGTCGTATTGCACGCCCAGTGTTTTCAGCGTAATTGAATGGTTTCTGTTGCTCTGACTGATTTAGTTCTGCGTGAACCAAATAAAAATTCATAGTGTTTAGTGCAGTAAATATACTCAAAGCGAGCATAAAGGCACTATTGCGATACTCTTTGTCTCACGTAGTTCATATGATGACTGTTTGATGGTCCTTAAAGAATATCAATCATTATATTTATATTATATAAATATTATAAATGTCGTTTGATTCGTCTTGACATTCATTCTTTTGGCAGGTTTGCTTTTGAAACCTAGTTTACCCAAAGGGCTTTTTTGAAGAGGCAGTGTGGTCATCTTCTGTTCTGATCTTGACAAGAGAGAGAGGAAAAAAGAGGTAGAGATAAACCGCGTATATGTGTGCTCTCTCCCTGTCTAATGAGTGACTAAGCATTCGGTTCCTGCCCTCACAGAGCCATCATGGATCATTAAAGCTCTAGTAGTTGTAGTTGTGTTTGATGAGGAGTTATTAAGGCATAGTAATTACTGTTCTTTCTTCCCCAGAGAGCATGCTATAAAAATTTGGCCCTCCTAGCCAGCATACAGTAGCATCGCCTGGGACGGCGCCTCTCGCAAGCATGCAATCTGTCAGATCCTCGGAGACAGCTAGATAAGCTTTCTTTCCGTTTGATTCAGGCCTTATCGGGTGCTCAGAGTCATTAAATATGAAAAATAAGTCATTTGAATGAAGATTGATGGCCGACCTCTAAAAAAATCCAGAAGTTCTACGTGACTGACTTCACATTCATTTGAATGTCATTTTGGCTTCGTGACCTGTTCCTGAAGCATTGGGAAGTTGTGATTTACTAGAAATGCGCTCTGTAATTTTTCGGTTCTTGAAAAGCTGTTGATAACCAATTATTTTCATCGTTTCTGGTCAATGTTGTGGTTGCAACGCAATTACCAGAATTCCCTCTGGCCTGGTTCCACGTTCTGCTTATAAGCTGAAAAAAAGTGGTCTTCTGCCTTGTTTCCAACACACTAAATAGCACAAAGACCTTGTCAGATCTAATAAAGAGAAGAAAAGACAAGCCACAAGCCCTGTTCGAATGTCAGAACAGCAGTTGCCTTGAAATCAACAGCCTTTCTGTCACATATTACACATGCTGCATTCTAAAGGTGAATCCTTCATTACCTCCTACGTTTATAATCCATTAGAAGAAGCTTTCACAAGTGGCTGCATTATTAAATTAGTCTTGTTGAGACAAGCGAAGATTGAATACGGGAGACGGTTAACCTGAATGGCAGTTATCTGACAATGCTGAAAATGGCTAAGAGGCAGAAAATAATTTTCTGAGAGCTGACCTCTTTTCCATTACCTGTCTTATAAACTTATTTTAGGTGCTAATTGATTGAATCTTCTTAAAATGAGCTTAATGAAATCTATTAATTGGTTTAAACTATCGATTAGGTTTAGATATTACAGGCATTGCTTTTGCGGTTACAGTGAAACGTATGGGTACAGTATCTCTTTCTCTCTTCCTCACTGTCTCTCTCATTTTCTGTGCTTGCGGAGGTGTTACATTCGGAGGTTCCATCAGTAAGACACACATGTTTTTTTTCCTCATTCCTCTCCAGCTCACTGCTCTGTGCCAGCCCTTAATGAGCTCTGTAATGCAGATTTTAGACGTGACGATTTGTTTGTTTCTTCAGCAGGCCTTTTACCAAGATACTCACTTCTTCCTACCAGGAGCTGCTATTTAAATGCTAAACTCTGTATTGTAGCTGTCATACTCCGTGGAATAGTTTTGCTAATGGCATTCTGTTGTTTTTAAACCTTGTTTTAAAAGACATTGTGCAGGTTGGCGCTATAATTTTAACACCATTCCTAGACCTTGTGCGTCACGCCTTTGCTTTAGAAGAAAATACTATGAATTTGCACGCTTGCTGTCTTAGAAAGCACACGCCAGGCTTTATTGTTCATGCTCTGTTTTGTTGTAGAGGGCGTCGGGGGTTATATATCAAGCCCTGAGCCAAGCTTTGAGCTTACTTTCACAGTCAGCAAGAACTGAGCTGTCTCTAAGGAGCTGCTCAATTCTCATGGGACTCCCTCTTGCCGTGTCGGAGAGCTTCTCTGATGGATGGTGCAATGCTCAAGCCACATGGTCATCATCCCAATGTGCATGGTGTCAAACCTTGTATAAAACACCTTCTGTCTTTCCCTGACCATAACTGCTCTTCCCAAATTGTTCTTCTGGTAAAAACAAGATTCATTATAAAAGGGCATTATAAAAGTAAGTGTACACTCACACACACACACACACACACACACACACACAGTTTGAGGTCAGTATACTACTTTTCTTAAAGACATTATT